GGAGAGAGGTGGGAGGGATAGAGAGATGGAAGGAAGGAGGAAGGTATGGAGGGAGGGTGAGAGGGTAGGAGGGAGGGAGAAAGGGAAGGAAAGAAAGGAAGAGAGGAAGAGAGGAAGGGATGGGAGAATGGAGGGAAGAAGGAATAGAGGGAGAGAAGGAGGGATGGATGGAGAGAAGGAGGAAAGGAGAAAGAAGAGGGGAAGAGAGGGAGGGGGAAGGAGAGAGGGAGAGAAGGAAGGAGATAGGGAGGGATAGATGGGCAGATAGATGGAGGGAGAGATGGAAGGAGAGAGGGAAAGAGGGAAGGAGAGAAGGAGGGATGGATGGGTGGATGGAGGGAGGGAGGGAGGAGGAAAGGAGAGAGAATGAGAGAGGGAGGAATGGGCATGACCATTCATTGCACAGCCCCAGCAATGCATAGGGGAGTGATTGCATATTGCACAAGGGGAGGAGTGGTTGTGCATTGTACAAGTGCCAAAAGTGCATGGGAAGGATTGACCACATATTGCACAAGAAGTGGAAGTGCACAGAGGTGCACATCACTGTGCCCTGCACAATGACTGCTGGTGCAAGGAGGAGCATGATGATGCATTGAACAAATGATATGATCCATTGAACACCGGCAATGCTGGTGCAACACACGAGAGGCAGTAGTGCACCATACGTTGCACAAGGGGCCACGTTGCACAAGGGAGTGGCTGTGTGTTGTACATGGTCTGGTGGTGCACAGGGGGGAGTCATGATGCATTGCACGAGGATGTGCATTGCACGGGGGAGTAGCTATGCCTTGCACATGGACTGGTGGAGCACAGGGGGGTAATGGTGCATTGCACAAGGACCTGCATTGCACAGGAGAATGACTGTGCATTGCACGTGGATTGGTGGTGTGTGGCGGGTTGTGATGGTGCGCTGCACAAAGACCTGCATTGCACGGGGACGAGTGACCACACATTGCACACGGACTGTTGGCACGCGGGGTGGAGGAGGACACACATTCCATCACACTTTCCAAGAGCCAGCTGCACATGGGTTCATCACCGTGCAAACGCAGAAGGGCCAGCAATGCATGGGGGGTGGGGGGAGGAGACGTGAGCAGTCGTTGCACAAGGCCAGCGGTGCACGAGGGTGTGGAGGTGCGTTGCACAAAGGGCTGCGTTGCATAGGGACTGGGATGGACAGACAGATGGACACACACACACATATCGGTGCATTTGGTTTGGCACTTGGGCCAGAGGAATCCCAGGCATCCATACAGACTGGAAGGAGTGGTCCTTGAGAGCAGCCCTGCAGAAAAGGACCTGGGGGTCCTGGGGGGTGAAAAGCTGAACATGAGCCAGCAGGGTGTCCTTGCGGCTCGGGAAGCGAATGGGATCCTGGGCTCCATCAGCAGAGGGGTGGCCAGCAGGGACAGGGAGGTGATTGTCCCCCTCTGCTCTGCTCTTGTGAGGCCCCGTCTGCAGCACTGCAGAGCCCCCAGGACAAGAAGGACGGGGAGCTGCTGGAGAGGGGCCAGAGGAGCCACGAAGATGAGCAGGGCTGCAGCACCTCCCTATGAGGACAG